TGGTCGGCCCGTATCTCGGGTTTGCTGACGAGGTGGGTTTATGTGCATGGAACGTTCCACAAAACCATGACTTGAAGGCAGTTACGCTTCATGGCACAATTGTGAAGTTCGCACAATCCCGAATCTGACTGGGAGTATTTCTGAGTGTTTTGTTTCAATCATGAATAATAAGGGTAGGTGTTATTTGTAACCATTTAAATATTTTTAACTTGTTGCCTGCGATGGAGTTAAAAGCATTTCGTTCACCCTTGGAGTACAGTTTCTAGAATTATTCTGCCTAACAATGCTTCAATCAAAATAAATCTGATTTTTCTCTACGGTAATAAGTTATACAATCATCGTCATCATCATCCTTACACCAACTATGATCTATCTAGATGGTTTGGCATAAATACAGGATAGGGACAAAACCATTTTGTTAGCTGTGTGTACACTCATAGACATTACATGCGAGCAGAGTATAATATTATTTCAAAACACTGTTTCATCGCCATCCAACTGCTATCAGTAACATGTCAACCAGATCATTGTCATTGACGTTCTCCGTCTCACTCAATGGCACCTAACCACAATACCCGCAACCAGACAATTTTTTTCGCAATGTCAAGAAAATATCCAAGTAACTAGATGCGCTAATTTGATCGGTAGAGACCTCCTGACGTATTCCGTTGTCCTTTACAGACTACAGACACTGTTTGAACACCACACCAATTCGTTTTATGTAGGTGAATCATCTTTTAACGAAGGAGTAAAATGTGGATAATGAATTCACTTTGATGCCTTCCCAGTTCTGCCTACCATTACCAACAATGGGAGACTGCTAGTCCAGCAGACGTGTCGTGATTCATAATATTGATCACAAATCGATACGGCTTACAGTTAGACCGAGAGCTTCTCGTTTTTGGACTACGTTCTGACTCGGCATAGAGATGGCTCGATTTAGAGCAACATGTGCCGACAGTCTACCTCAAATAGGAAATCTCAATTTTATCGAGGTTTTCATTTGTGAACGCAATCCAAAATGCTGCTTAGTATTTGGAGCCAAACTCCTTTATTCGAAATATGCAAACAACAGAGAAATTATTCTACCAACCGCAGGTTACTTGAAGAAGTTTTCAATCATATATAGGTGGAGAGACCTCCACTAATCAGGTATCGTTGCGTTGGCACTTAAACATTATTTTTTCGGTTTTCAGACTTCCTTCTGATAGATAGACAATCACATGGAGACAGAAAGTGATCACTCAGCTGATACACAAAAGTGGAAAAGTGAGACCTTAGCGTCGAGGTTCAAACCCGTGGACCTTATGTTTGATACGATGTTGTTCAGTACCATTGGAAACTAACCACCACGTCGCCTAAGTTTTGTCATTTATAGAATTAGCCCACATACAACATAGAAAGCACGTTCGTGAAGAAATTTATTTTCGACCTATCACATAGGATGGTGATACACAGAGCGACAGATTGGCTGATTACAATTCAGTTTACAACTATGGCATACATTATATGACAGTGATTTGTATTCCATTGGGATAAGGTTGCTCTAGAACCTTATTACTTGTCACTCTTGAGAAACTAATTCGATTGTTTAACTTTTAAAATTGAAAGGCACAAAAGCTAAAGAGTGACTATAGAATATAAAGTCAAATAGCAGTGATTAAGTCTATCCACTTAGTCATGGGTTAACGGAAATTAGATTTCCCTCCTTGAATCCTAAACTAGATAATGTATTATGCATACCAGGCAAATGGTCTGATATCAAGTGGTTTACACTTAAGGTTCGTATAATCAATCCGGCCTTCATCAAACTCAGTGTTCGCGGAGGGGGTGGGAGATCAGAGGTCGAATGAGATAACGGTACAGATATGGGATTGGTCCGGTATTAACTCACTATGGCTGAGACAAATCCTAACTACCGGCCACATTACCTGTGGCATGTTAACATCTCATGATGAATGACCTTCCGAACTCTGTCCAAATAAAGACAAGGCAATTTATGAAACCGGACAAATAAGTCCAAACAAAACGACAAAGAAACGGAAGCAGGTTGGTCTTCCGATGTTCCGTCGCCACCCACCATAACCGTCTATCTAACTATTACAATGGTCTACAGGGACCCGAATAGAAACTTAATGATCGTAAGAAATTAGAGTTGGCACTTTACTTTTGCCAGAAATAAGGTAACTGGGTTCGTCTCCGGAACACAATTGCGCATGGTCCTAACATAATCATCACATTGAATATTTATCAGCTGATCAACCTGATAAATGTGCGAGCACGGATCTTGAAGTTAGTAGCTAGCCACCTCATCCCCCTTCTGCCTGGCCCTTCTTCCATACAAATTCCATCGTGAAATGCATTTACTGGACACGAATTTGAATGCATATGTTCGTCCGAATCTGTGTTCTAGCTACAGCAATAAGCCTGTTCTTTAATATCTTCTAATTAAAAGTGCTACATATTGTCAAGTTGTTTCTTCTTTTCGTGATAAATAATAAACTATGATCACTTGAGCTGTTCCCAGCTAGTTGATAAACTTCCTGACTAACACCAGTAACAAACCGCCGCAGTATTTGTTCGCCAAGATCTCCATTCACTACAAGTGATTCGGGAATTCGGGATCTTTTAGTTTCGCTAAAACACCACGAACAGTTGTACAGTGGGTGGAATACAGATCAAATGAGCAACCTGAAATGAATTGAATTTGAATTCCGGTTAATCGAATCCTGGAATGAAATTCTCTAGGTACAAGGCAAAATAATCACGAATAAAAAAACTTGATATGTTTTTTCCAGGCTTCCGGCTGCATTGATTGTCATAAATCCTTTAATTCTATCAGGATTTACACAATAGGGACAGAGTATGAATATACGCGTAGGAACCGAGCAACTAAATAACTAATAATCAATAAGATCTAACGCTGTCCACATTTGCAAGCTTATTGAAAGCCACTGACCTTTCGCTACTTGACGTATGGTCCAAGGACCATAACTCGGTTGGAGATAGTAGCAGTTTTCTGACCACATTTCCGCATGAGTCAAATTTCAACCATACTTAATTATATTCGGCCATTCAAAGTATCATATGAATTTAGAGTTTGCCATAA